GTAGAAATTTGTTGTTTCATTTTATCATGCCGATGACAGAGTATCTTTGCCCAATGTAAACGTTGCAGTGCACCATCCAAGTCATTATCCTGTTGAAGTCGTTTACCACGTTCAATGAAATATTTAGAAATATCCAGTGTCATACGTTCTAATAAGTCTGCATCGAAGTCAAATATTAGAATATAGTCGATATATTCAATCGCCCAGTTAGCATGCCCTTCGACGTCATGACAGAAAAGATATATGGACAAGTATGGCTGATTAGTGATTAGATCAGTGAAAATATGTCGATATCGTTCAATGATTTTTGGTACAATATGCATTCCCAATAGTCCAGAACTAATGAAGAAGATGCGCTTGTCTTGATTTTTCTCAAAAGCTTCAAGACAATCCTTCTCGTTAGTAAAAGCTTGTAAAAGAAAGCGTACACCTTCGAATTTCACCTCTTGAGCTTCTGTTGCAGCTAGTAGCTTGTCATAATCTTTGTCGTTGAGCATTGTCCAAGTTTCATGACGTGGATCAGTATTACTTGCGAAGGCTTTTTTCAAATGTATATATTCTTTATGATTGCCAATAGACGCATCGAGCCAAAAGATCATATGATTAGGTTTTTCAGCATCGTGATCAGAGAGTGTATCGAATGTCGATGGTGACATTATTATCTAGAAATAATCAAAATTTTGATTCGAAAGTATAGATTAAAAATGAAATGATTGTGACAAATATCAACAACGAGAGATGGCACTAATGTGAACAATTTAAATCGGTTTTTTACGGGCATGGACCATAAGACATTCCATATTGATCATTGTCAGGATTCTGTTTCATTCAAAATTCAACTGCATTTATGTTATATGCTGGAAATTTAATGTGATCAGACGTGTGAATGAACGGGTGTGGTTGTGAAGGTAGATGAAGACAGCATTCATACGAAAACCTTTTCTTGCTTGCGACATTTTCTTTTCTGTCTTTTCCCTCAATACGTCAACATACTGAGAAATATCACAACACTTTTCGAGCCAATTCTTTATAAAATAAGTCAGAAATAAACTGAAATTTGCAATTTGATGATACACAATGATACTGAATTTGTATGTTTTATGTCAATCCAGGCGAATCTGATTTACGTAGAAGAATAACTTTTCCTGTCCGAAAAATCATTGAATTCCGAAAGCTTTCATCTTATTTTTATACAAAGTCGATATTTTTCTCGAATTGGTTAATCTTGGCGAAAAACTCAAAGTCATAAATTTGGAAGCACTATCTACAGACTTAGATTTCTCGACCTTCTAATTAGTTAGAAGGTTGATGTGGATCTACTCTTCATACTTATCTGCCATTACATGTCGACTATCTAATTTTTTTTTTGTATAAATTTCGAAGAAAGTTCAATCATTAACAATTAAGAAGAGAAGAAAAATTTTCTCCTATTTTATATAAAATTCTTCTCTAAAAAACATTTTCATCGAAACCATCAACAATAATTCTATTCCTAATTTTCTTTGTTTTTATTATGTTTGATAGACAAATATTGGATAAAAAAAACCATGTACGAATATCAACAAATACTCATTTTGTATTGGATATCATTTTCAAATACCAAATGATTTCAAAAAGAACATGGTTGTTATTTTCTTTTTCTTTTTAAAGAGTGTAGTTCACGCTTTATAAAGTCTTTTGCCACTTGAATAACTCACTTAACCTTAACAAACTTAAACGATATTATTAATCTCTTTACTCTGAGTATTTGACTAGAGTGGTTTGTTTTGTTTATTGAATGTTTTCGCTTTTGGGAAATCAACATCGGCTGAAGATATTCTTTTTCAATTTACTGCTTTTCTTTGTCTATTCGCCAAAATTCTTTTTTATGTTTAATGTGAGATAAAATTTTAGAATGTAGGTATGTTGATCTTCTATTTAACGTTGTGGACATCCACATATATATTTGTAATGAAGAACGAGAAGGAAGAAGGATTTTCTACAACTGCGACTATATGCAGCTCTGTACAGAAGGTGTATCTGATTGATAGCTTTTCGCTGATTTCTTAAAGTCTTTGTATATGCTGACTAACCATAAGTTAGCTACAACTATTATGAAGTGTGACATAAAATAGTTAACATACTATCAGATGATTGACTCGAGAAAAATATTCGTTCTGCTATGGTCAAAATAATTCCATTACTGGTGATACCGACGTCTAAATCAAAGATAGAAACCAAATGGAATCGAATCCTTTCTAACATATTCGGTTCATAAGAACTTATTTCTTTATTACAAAGTGACACCATAACATGAATGTTTGATTGATTGATTGATTTGTATAAAAGATGCTTGCTAACAAATAGTAGCAGTTACCTTTTCATTTCTCGATCTTGTAGTCTATTATGTTTGTTTATGTTAGTAGTCATTTTTAGTATTTTTTTTTTCATCATAATTATGTCGAAGTTGGATAAACTTTATTTATCTGTAGCACATTCAACAACTATCATAAAATATTCATTATTGAACAGTAATATTTGGTCTCAAATATTGCCTAATAGTAGCAGATGGTTAACGACTCTCTCTTTTGAAAAACGTCCGTCTTTTCTGGAGTATCAAACAGTGTGTATTTCGAATCGAGAAAAAGATGCGTGTAATTACAAATTATAATAGCTCGAGTTCACTAGAGTACTTTATTGAAAGAATGAATGAGAAAAAAAATATAAAAGACTAAAATTTGCTTCGACTGTGTGCAGTGAGAGTTATTTGATTTATGAGTTAGTCTGAATCGAGAACGAATGCATAAATAGTGATGAAACTCTCGGAAAAATCATTCTTGAGTCTGTTCGTCAAAGAGCTTCTCAATTCATAAAGCAACAAATAGAAGAGAATCATTCGAGTTAGTTGCTTTGGAAAGAAACTATTTTCTTGACTTTGAAATCAGCTACCATATACAGCTAAATGTCAAAAGTGTAAACAAGTCTTTTGTATCGTTCTTGTTTGATGTTGTAGACTGAAATAGTTAACTTAGATAGAAGTACATAAAACCAATGCTTTCCCTATGATGTTAACATGACAAATACTACTAAACGATTTCACCATGATATAGAAACTGAGAATGACAGACTGAAAATAAAATTTAAATAAATAGGTTAAATTTGCATTTCTTTCTAACTGGCCTAGTAGTTGTACGGAACTTTAGAGTTCATGGTGGAATAAAATATTCTAAAGAATCAAAAGTAAATATCATTATATTAAAATATGTTTTTTTTTCTTCTATTGAGATCATATCATCGTTGAACTAAGCAGTTTATGTTATTCTAAGACAAAAAAAAAAACCTTTTTTTTTTTGTACGACTTAATATGGATGAAAAAAAAAGAAATTATTCCTCTTCTCGTTCACCGAAAACATGTATGATCCTAATGATAGACGACAGTGATAAACACGTCGAGACGTCGTGATAGTCGTAAATTCTAATAGTAAGGCTAGACTAGATCATTGGAAATCTTAAAGGGTGGCTCATTAATAGCACTACGATTACAAAAAATGGAATATCTTCGCATTAGGGTAATTAAATGGACCGGTTTTCTTTTGGTTAGTGGTAATAGTTAATTCAATATTCTTTTTTTTCATACCACTAAACTAACCTAACACTGCTATTAAATACTATTGTTAACATCATGAAAATAATTTTGATTTTTCATATACTATTAATTAGTTTCAATGCTGAAATTTAGACTGCACAAGTAAAATACATAATTAGACTACATTGAGCATCAAAACACCAATTTTCGTGTAAAAACTAGTGTCTCATATGTGAAAGTTCAAAATTTTGTAATCGTTGATTTTGAAACTAGCTAGTTTAAAAACACTTGTTCTTGTCATTCTCTTAGATAACAGCCCAAAAGTATCTATAAAATGATACACATGCACGTTTTTTTTTTACTTGATAAAAGATAAAATTATTTTTATGATACCATCAGTAATACTTAACAGTAGTATTCGCTTACCATATCTGTATAAAAAACTAAATTCAATAATCTTCTGTCACTATCCAAAACTTCAGCCGATTCGACTATAGCGATGCAGAGATATTTAATTATTTTTAACATAGTCCTATTTGCGGGTCACTCTGTATCTGAATAATCGCGATTTCCTCTATAAATCGGCGAAAATCGTCGATTTCGATGCTATGGGAACTTAAGTCGAGTGTCAGTCAGCTAAGTTAATGAGAAATCTCAAGCGAAAACGAAAGAATACACCTACCGGATATTGGTATTACGATGAGATTTTATTAATAAAACAGAACGAAAGATTTTTATAATTAAAGAAGAGAGCAAGGAAAAGACTAATCAATAACAAAAACAACTAGAAGAGAAAAAACAATAACCACTAATATGAATCAGAGAGAATATAGAAAAATAACTGAGGGGAGCAAGAAAGAAACCAATAATCAATAGCAAGGATAGTTAGCAGTACTAGAATGACCTCTATTGACGATAACAGCATCATACTTTACAAGTGCCTTCCGATTTGAGGATAAACATAGACAATAGACTGCCTATTCGGAAGCTGGACTGCTTGGATATTTGAGAACTGGATTTCTGTGTGATTATAGACGGGGGTCCACGAACAAATCTATAGAGCTCTCCTAGTTGTAGTGGACAACATGGATCCGAAGAGACATCATGAAGTAGGTATACTGGGCAAAATTGTACTAGTTTTGTTGAAAAATTTTTAAAAGATTCTGTGGATGCAACATTTTCTAATCGTTACCATTCTAGCACATATTTGATTATGTACAAGACGGGATTAAGATAAGGGTATAGCCTGAATAGAAATGTCTATTGATTTATCCAATATGGTTGCTAGTTTATTCTTCAGGACAAATAGATCTGTATATGAAATTTGTATTAGACTGTTAGTCGTGCTATTTTAAATACTCACAATCGGTGTCCACCGTCTGCGAGGCGTAATTGTTAACAAAATGAAAAAAAAAACTATAAAATGGCTCACCGTATTTTTGCGCAATATGAAGCGAGGTAATCGTCTGCGCTGCTCTGTTTCTCTTGTTATTTTTTGTTGCTTGCTCGAAAAACAATCTTACAAAACGTAAAACCTTTCATTATTCTTACACTAACGTATGATGGAAGAAAGAGTAACGAGAAATGATTGAAGACAGAATTTAGTTGCTCGACATATTGGATGGAGGGAACTTAATGAAAGACAAATATTTAATATTGTCTCAATATATTTCACGCACTCCATTCAGTGCAAGTCTCAAAAGCAGTTATAATTCGCTTTACAATAACAACATTATTGCTGTATGTGACTTAATAGAAAATGTTTACCAAGTTTATCAAACTTCTTTTCGAAAAATATTTATAATAATCTTGATAATATCTACTTTCAAATTTAAGCCTGTTCGTAACGTCTCTAACGTTAAAGAAACTACCTTAAACTTTGCTAAATTTGTGCAAAATTCATCAAGAGTGATTTTTTTTGAAATACGACAAAATAATATTTTGTTTTCATTCCTCTTATTTTAATGTGAAGAATATTGTTCCATATTTTATCCGACAAAACTCAAAAAGTTCAGTAAGTGAACAAATTCACAGTGAATTTTTTCTAGGCATTCTGTGCATCGTAGCGCACACTACGATAGTAGAGTGATC